AAAAAAAACCGAATCCAAGTCAAGAAAGAACACGCCCAGAAAATATCGGCCTTGACGAAGCAGCTGAGGGCGAAAACCCTGGAGTGCAACAGGTACGCCAAAGAGAACGGGGGGCCGGGCGGGGCAACGCCTACCCACTCCCGCCCTGTTCGCTCCAGTTGCTCAGTCCCGCGGGGGCCCCCGTGCCCTTGCCGCGGACCGAGCAGCAGGGAACGGCGGCGGGCAATGGATGCGTTCGCCCGCCCGTAGGCTTCGGAACCTTGGCGCCAAAGTGGACCGCCTGAGCGAATAGACAAGAGGAACCTGCAGAGGGCCCTCGCCTGCTGAATGACAGGAGACAACCGAGCCACCAACCAACTACAACGGCAACTTCAAAAACTCACCGAACAGAACGCCGAACTACAGACCGCCGCCCAGGACTTGAAGACCACCGTCCAGGACTTGAAGAGCGAGCTCAAGACTTCGAAGAAACACGACCACGAGCTCTGGCCCCACAGGATGTTCACGTCCTGGATCATGGGGAAACCGAACCCCGGCACCCTGAAGTTCCTCAAATACCACTGGTGGAAGGCCCCTGACCGGCGGGGCCCCCCGGGCGGGGGCTGGGGCGGCGGCCAGTAGCCCGGCCGCGGGCGCGCGGGGGAAACGGCGAGCCCAAAAACGCTTCTCTCTGCCGCTCGGGAAAGGGGCGGGGGCAGCAGGGCAGGAAGGCGGCAGACGGGAAGGACGAATGCCTTCGAGGCCGCAGATTTATTCGCGAGCTTGCGCTTGGGACGCCGCCCAACTCCCCGCGCCGACCCTGGGCTGGTTCGCGGCTCCGCGTGGGCCGGGCGCCAGCTTGTCGTGGCCTGGTTCCGCGCCGGATTCGCCCCGGCCCGCGGCCCGCCCCCGACCCGCGCGTTGGCCCGTTTTTCGCCGGCCGATAATCCAGCCTGTGCCCGGCGCGGAGCCCAGTCAGTCTTCGGTCAGCTTTATAGCCCGGCCGCCCTCTGGCCAGTGAGGGGCCGACATCCGCGACCCCCGCGCGCCGCCCTCAGCCAGCCCACCAAAGCCTGCCCTTGGCCGGCCCCCAGCAGGCCCTCGGCCGGCCGGAGCCTTCAGCCGGCTTCCAGCTGGCCTTCAGCCGGCCTTCGGCCGGCCACAAGCCGGCCTGTGGCTGGCCTTTCGCCGGCCTGGCCTCTACCCGGCCTTGCCCCTGGCGCCCCTTTCGCCAGCCTTGAGCTGGCCTTTAGCTGGCTTCTACTTGGCCCTATAGGAAGTCCTTAGCTGGCCTCTAGCCAACCCCGCTCTTATCTGGGCGCCCGAAATGGGCGCGGAAAGAACGGGCACAATGCCCAACAGCAGTTCCTGTTCATTTTGAACAGGATTCGCTGTCCGCGCCGCCGCGGACTGTGTCCATTCGAGACAGGAGGCCGCCTGCCCAACAGCGGCCGCCGTTGGTTTGGGACAACATGTGTTGTTGGGCGTGGTTGCCCATTTCCGTGCCCATTTCGGGCGTCCAAATCGTAGGCTGCCCCTTTTCGCTGGCCCTCGGCCGGATAGCCGGCCTTGCTGGCCTCTGCCTGGCCGCCAGGCCTGCAGCCGGCCTCTAGCCGGCGGTCGAGCTGGCCCATGAGCCAGCCCTCAGCCAGCTTCTTGCCGGCCCTGAAAAAGCGTCTCGCCGACCCTCAGTCGGCTTGGCCGGCCCCGAACCGGCGACGCCGCAATCTACAGGGCGTCCGCCAGCCGACCTCGGGGGGGATCCACAACATGGATCCCCTTTTGAAGGCCCGGCGACGACGGGGAGGGAAGGATGTGGCTTTACGATTATAGGGACGACGGACGCGTCGACGGACAACAGACCAAGGACGACGGACGACGGACGACGACGGTCGACGACGGACGACGACGACCACCACGACGACCACGACGACCACGGCGACGACGCGACGACACGACGACGACGACGGGCTCGACCAGGGCTCCGCCAGCCGATTCGGGGGGGATCCACAAAATGGATCCCCCTTTGAAGGCCCGGAAACGACGGGGAAGGAGGGGGAAAAGGAACAGGATGTGGTTTTACGACTAGGGACGACGGACGCGATGACGGACGACAGACCACGGACGACGGGCGACGACGGACGACCGACGACGACGACGACGACGACCACGACCACGACGACCACGACGACGACGACGACGACGACGGGCGCGACGACGACGACGACGACCACAGCGGACGCGACGACAGACGACGTGCGCGACAACGGACTAAGGGGGGTGCCCGGGAGGGCGCTCGGGGTTGAAGGGGGGCGTTTTGGGTTACAAGGCCGTGGATTTCTGGGCTGAGAAGCCTCGCGGGTGTCTGAGTGTGGATGCTTCGAACTAGACCAGGGCCCCCCGCATCGCCCTTCGCCCGCGCCAGGGGCGTCGTCTCCACCTTCATCGCCCCGGTCATCGCCGCCGTCGGCTCAAGCGCCCAGGCTCTCTTGGGCCAGATGGCGGCAAGCGCTCCGTTGGGGCGCGATTTCTCACTGGCCACGGTGCTCGCCCCCCTTCCACCGGCGGCCTTCGGTGATGTGGCGCGGCTGCTTTCCGCGGCCCCCCCGGCCTTGGCAGCGCCTTTCGTCCGGGTGCTCGCGGAGCGGAACCACGGGGTCGAGTTGCCCGACAACGCCGTGACGAATGTAATTTGGAAGCTCGCTCACTATCTTAACATCGGCAAGGGCGTTGATTTTGATTTCAACATTCCGTACTTCAAAGAACTGCAAAAGCTTGTGCCTTCGGCCCCCACAGTTGAGGTGCGCTCCACTCACGGTCGTTGCCCCCGGTGCCACGCTGCAGACTTCCAGAAGTGCGCCCCAAAGACAGGCAGCCGGGTGGCCTTCAATGTTCAACGGCGCAATGGCGGCAAGATGGTTCTGGAGACCCGGTGCCGCGTTTACACCATGGGCGCCGGGATCCAGAACGCCTCCTTCTCGGAGGAATACTGCCCCAAGTGCGCCTTGTATTTCCTCGGGCAGTGGCAGTGCGAGAAGCACGACAGAAGTAGCGGGCGAGGGACTTACGGGAATATGATAAACATCAAGCTCGTTTCGGGGTCCAGTTCCCTCAAGTATTTCTTCGTTCCGCGCGAGAAGGCTCGGTACGCCGTCGACGCGAAGCTATTGCAGTTCCTCGCGGACAAGCTACACCACAGCGGGGGGACATTCAATTCTGCAGTTCTGGCATGGAGCGAGCAACACACTGAGCTCGCGCAGCGAGGGCTGCTTCGTGGCGAAGACTTGACGCTTCTACGAGCCAATGGCGTTCGCTTGGAGGACGCTTGGTATGCGCACCGCGCTGCCCGCCTTGCCGGCGGCGCCGCATCCGAACTCACGTGGTCTTTCACCAGGGGCGGCTTGGAGTCGACGTTGCTCGCTCTCGCGCCAGCCGCGCGCCAAGCCCACGTCGAGCGCGCCGTTGAGCACGCCCGCACTTGCCCGAAGTGTGCTGGTGATCTCCTTGTCCTTCTGGACGGGAAATACGGTGCGCGTCGATTCATATGCGGCGGGCTGGACGGTTACGAACACATGGGCACGCTGCAGATGGATTTCTACACGGGGTGTCTGAAGAATGCCCCCGCTGGGCGATTCTTCTGCGCTCGATGTCAGACGGCGCGCGCTGGACAGAACAATCTCACCCCGCAGACGCAGATTTTGGGCATCGCTCCCGCGGCCGCCCCGAACGGCGAAGCGTCTGCCCTGAGATACTTGGTGCGCTGCTCGGATCCAGACAATCCGATCGAGACCTTTGACGCCTTCCTGCCGAGGGCGGAAGTATCACAGGAGCTGCTAGCAACCTACGAAAAGTCTCTGCTTCCAGCAAATGGAGACCATGGGAACAAGAAGGCGCGGCCTGCGTGGCTCAAAGGCCACCGACAGGTCACGCGCTGGCAGAAGGCACAGAACCCAGCGTGCCGAGGGGGCGCCAGCCCTGGGGCCGCCGCCGCTGCTCGCGGCCGAGGCGCGGGCGGCCGCGCGGCCGCCAGGGGGCGAGGCGGCGCCCGGGGGCGCCGCGGCCGCGGTCGCACTTCCGCGGCGACGGCCCGTTCCCGCCGACCAGCGGCAGCAGGGCTGCCAAGGAAGCGGAAGGCGCCCACGCCGAAGCGAGCTGGCCGCCCCGATTTCACGGCCGCCCGCTCGTCTGCGCCACAGCCGCCGAGTCGCCCCACGCGCGGCGGCGGCGGCGACGCTGCAGGTGCGAAGCGCCAGCTTTGCCGCGGCTGGCTTGCGCTGGACGACGAACAGAAGCAGTCGATCCTGGCCTGCGGCGTCGACGAGCTCCAGGGCTCCGACAAAGTCCGGAGATGCGCTGGCGGCATTATGACGGCCGTCACGTCTTGCGGCTGGCTCGTGGATTGGATGGAGCTGACCCGCGGCGAATCCATCGAGATCGTGTACGCCTTCGCCTTGCGGCTCCACAAGGACCCTCGTCGCCGCGGGGCACTTTGCTCGATCTGGCGCCCCGCGAAGATGGGCGGATCCCCAGGAGGGAGGAAAAAGGGGTAGGGGCGGGGCGACACAGCGCCGAGGAGCTCCGGGCGGCCCCCGCCGCGCGACTCGCGAGTGCAGCTGCGCTGCGTTGTCCAAGTTTGCCTTTTTCCTCCCAGCGGAGCCCCCGCTCGCCTTCGTGGGCCCCTCGATCGCTCGAGAGGGCGCCCCGGGCCACGGCTGCGTCATCGGGTGGCTCGGCTACGACAACGCCTGCAAGTTGCTCTCCATGGCACGCGCCGGGAAAGATTATGTTCTGCCGTGGACGAAATCGCTGGCTGAGGAAGTGCGCATTGTCCTGGACGGTTTCCACAGGGACAACCACACGTGGTGTCTGAATGCGCTCCTGGAAGTCGACCCGCTGCAGCCGGCGAACGAGAAGTTTTTGGCGTTGAAGAACACGGAGGCTTGCGAGCAGCTCAATGCGTGGATCAGCCCCCGGACGCGCATGTGCCTCGAGATGACGAGAGCCCATTTCCAGCTCCACAGGTGGAAATCATGGCTGATTCGCCATTCCCGGCTGCGCCCTTCACGCTCGCGGGGCCCGCGAGCGCTCTTTGCTGGCGGGCGGGGCGAGGCAGGTTGAGGGCTCCCGGATCGAGAACTTCGGACCCCCCCCCCGCGCGCCGCGCACCGCTGCTCCGACGGGTGCCCCCATCGGGGCTTGCGGATTCTGTTCGATGTCCATAACGACCCAGACATCCGAAGGTTTTTTTTTTTTTTTTTTTTTTTTTTTTTTTCTTCCTAGCTGCGAAATGTCTTGGTTTTTGTGGATTGTCTTGGTTTTTGTTCCAGACTGTGCGATGTCTTGGTTTTTTGTCAGATGTCTTGTTTTTTTGTCAGATGTCTTGGTTTTTTGCTAGATGTCTTGGTTTTTCTTGCAAGTAGACACCCCAACGTGACCAGTCACAACAGGCCGTAGCAAATACAATGCACGTGCTAGATACACCGATAAAGGAGACACAACAAAACATAGTTTCTAACGCGCATAAATCTTCCATGTTAAACTCGAGAACTGAATGGCGAAACTGCTTCACTTGTTTTATGAAGGCCTTGGCATGGAAATAAACATAGTCGAGTAGCATGTTTCCTTTTATCACGCACGCGCGCGCACTCGCGCGCGCCCTGTATTCTGGTGACCTCAACATGGAATGCTCGATCCTCAAACACAACGCTTTCCTTGTCGCGCGCGCGCTCTGACATGCGCAACGCAAGAAGGAAAAACAAATGACATAATAACGTCATATGGAAAAATCAAGGGTGGCACGTGCCACCCCGAAACATGAATGGTGAAAACAAATTGTTTCATTCGTATTTCCAATGCCCCCATCAAGTTTCTTGCATATATTGCCCGCGCGCCAGAGGGCGCGCGCGCGCAGTAAGGAAAACATGAGGTTTCAACATGTAAAATTCCATGCTGAGGCCCTCAGAATACGAGTGAATCAATTGGTTTTCACCATTCATTTTTCGAAATTAAGATGTGCATTCTTTATTAATGGTTGTTATAGCGCGCGCGCGCCAGGGCGCGCACGAGATAAAGAAAATACGCTGCGTCGCAATATAAAACTCCATGCTGCCTGGGGTGTGCCGGGTACCCTGCGCGCGATGCGAAAAGCGTTGTGTTTCACACTGTCGCGTTAGGCTACATGTTGTTTGATAATGAACTGTGCAACCTGCTGTTTGTTCGAATATATGACGCCGCGTCTCGAGGCGGAATTGGATTTCACCATCCAGTTTTCGGGGTGGCACGTGCCATCTTTTCTGTTTTTGTTCATATGACGTCGCGCGTGCAAAACAATGTGCCATATTATGTATATATATGTATATATATATATGGTATCATGTTGAAATCAGAGGTGCAAGTGGAATAATAGGAGGTTCACACGCCTGCGGCTCATCCATGGCCAGCGCACGCATGTGCCGTGGATTGTCTGGGGCGAAATGACCCCAAGGGGGAGAGGAGGGGTGGGCGGGAAGAGGAAAGTGAGGAGGGAAAGGTGGACGGGAGGAGGGGGGAATGAGGAGCGCGCGGGGCGCGGCGCGCTGCGCGCGCGGAACGCTGGCTCTGGCCCGCGCCGCGGGCAGGGCGAGCGCCCGCGCGCGCGCGCACATGGCGGCCGCGGCCGACTCCGAGGCCGAACGCTCCTCCTCCCCCTCCTCACCCTCTTCCTCCTCCTCCTCCTCTTCCTCCTCCTCCTCCTCCTCCTCCTCCTCACCCTCCTCCCCCTCCTCCTCCTGTTCCTCGCCCTCGTCACCCTCCTCGATCCTCCTCTTCAATCTGAATTGTGGTTGTCTTCCTCCCCTCTCATTCCTTGTCCTGCTCTCCCGTCGCACTCATGATATTACCTCTCATCCTTTTCCCTCCTCCTCTTCATTCTCCTGTTGCCTCCTACCCCCTTCACTTAATCGCCCTTCTCCTCCGGTTCGAGGACCAGCGAGAGACCGAGGAGGATCGAGGAGGAGAGGAGTGGGATCGAGGCATTCATCGAAGAACATTTCCAGTTCGGGCTCAATTTCGACGAGGCGTGCGACCGCGCAGGGATACCAGTCTTCGATCCCGAGGCCTGTCCTCCTCCTTATCCTCCTCCTCTTCCTCCTCCTCCCACTCATCTTCCTTTCCTATCCTTCGCCTACTCCTCCAAATTTCTCCTCGTTCACAATCCTCCACATCGCCGTCGCAAATCGCGTCAAGATCATCCATTCTCAATCCTGCTCGTCCTTCTGTCCCTCCTCCTCCTCCTCCTCGTCCTCTTGTGTTTCTCCTCCTTCTTCATCGACTCGACGAGGGCGCTGGTTCCCCCCCCTCCCTCCGAGGGTGCTGTGGACGCGTCAAAGCTGGGGCCGCGCCGAAGAAGGGCGCGCAGCACGAAGGAGCCCGAGAACATCGCCGAGGTTCCATGGGCGGAGGAGTGGGGAGGGATAGAGAGAGAGAGAGAGAGAGAGAGAGAGAGAGAGAGAGAGAGAGAGAGAGAGAGAGAGAGAGAGAGAGAGAGAGGGGAGACAGAGAGAGATCTCATGAATAAAGAGAGGGTGGGATATGTGCAGGTATAATATATACATATATATATATATATATATATATGTGTATATATATATATGCATCTCGAAAAAGGAGAGGGAGGGAGAGGGAGAGAGATAACGGAAAGTGCCAGAGAGAGAGAGAGAGAGAGAGAGAGAGAGAAAGCGGGATCATAAGTATAGAGAGAGATATAGGAAGAGAGCGAGGGAGGGGCGGAGGGAGAGAGAAAGAGGGGGAGAGACAGAGAGAGCGAGAGAGGGAGAGGAAGATATTAGAGAGAGAGAGAGAGAGATAGAGAGAGAGAGAAATAAAGAAAGGGAGAGAGAAGGAGACGAAAGAGGGATAGAGAGAGAGAGAGAGAGAGAACGAGAGGGACACAGACAGCGAGAGATAACGAGATAGAGGGAGAGCGAGAGCGACAGAAAAGAGAGAGAGAGAGAGAGAGAGAAAGAGAAGAGGGTGGCAGATGGGGAACGGATGAGAAGAATGGATGAGGTAGGAGCGATGATGATGATGGTGATGCTGATGCTGATGGTGTTGATGCTGATGCTGGTGGCGATGCTGATGATAATGGTGATGCTGATGTTTATGTTGATGATGATGTTGATGACGGTGATGGTGATGATGTCGATGCTGATGACGGCAATGATGAATGTCATGGTGATGGTGGTGCTGATGAGGATCATGACGGTAATGGTGATGGTGATGATGATGATGTTGACGATGCTGGCGACGATGGTGATGATGATGATGCTGATGATGATGATGATGATAGATGGTGGTGGTGATGACGGTGATGCTGATGCTGATAATGATGATGATGATGATGGTGATGATGATGACGATGGTGATGATGATGATGATGATGATGATGATGACGATGCTGTTGCTGATGATGATGACGGTGGTGGTGATGAGGAGGAGGGCGAGGAGGAGTAGGAGGAGGAGGCTCGAGGAGGAGGAGGAGGAGGAGGAGTAGGAGTAGTAGTAGTAGGGGGAGGAGGAGGAGGGAGAGGGAGCGGTGCAGGGGGTGAGGGAGTGAACGGGGACACGGGAGAGGAGAAGGAGGACGACTAGGAAGGAGATGAGGAAGATCGGGAAGACTGGCGAAAATGAGAGACGACGGTGATCGCGCGGGCTAGGAGCATGCCTCAGGAGCAGGGGGGGCAGGAGGAGGAGTGGCAGGGTGGAGGAGGGACGCACCCAGCCATCAGGCGCTGGTCTACACGGAGGGCCAGCCAGTCATCGCGGGTGCCCTTCTTCCTCCACCTCTCAATCCCCTCGTCGACGGCAGATCTGCCTCTCGGTCAATCGGCATGCGTTCAATGCGTCCTCGGCTCCTGCTCCTGCAGATGGTTTTCCCTTCCCCTCCTTCTCCTCCTCCGCCTCCTTCTCCTCTGCCTCAACTTCGCATGGCCCTCCTCCGCTTCCTCCTCATTGCATTGCTAGCTCACTCCTGCTAATTCCCCTGGCGCGCCATCCTCCGCGTCGTCACCATCGCCCCATCAAGGTGCGAAGATCCCCAATTTCGAGGATTATCAGCAGGAGTACACGTCGCGCCCGAACAGAGCGGCGATGCAGGTGCACCGAGGGAAACTATGAGAGTGGGATCAACCATAATTGATACGAGGATGGCGAGGATCCACGAGGAAGGGGATTGAGGAGACGTGTCGAGGATGAGGAAGAACATGACAACAACCAGGGAAGTGAGGATACCGCGCGATCCAGCCGCCGAGGAATAGGACAACACTGACCAGCCCTGCAGGAGAATTGTGGTTAAGGAGGGGGGATGTGACGAGGAGGAGCGAGGAAGGTGGATCGAGGAAGGACGGTGAGAGAGGACGGGGGTGATGGGGCCACTGGGAGGGAGTCCCAGGTGTGGATCCCCATGGCAGAGGCGCTGGATAAGATCACGGACACGCTGCGCATCTCCCAGAAGTGCGCGGAGGCCCGAATGAACAGACGAGGATGATGATAAGGACGGGAGCACGAGGAGGAGAGGTGGAGAAGGGGGATTGTATTGTGTAGGAAAAGTGGGGTGAAGGATGGAGGAGGAACGGGGGGGGCGAGGAACGAGGAACGGAGGGGCGACCCTCCCCCTAGAGGCGGCATGGTCATCGCTGTACTGGGCGCCCCTCCGCGTGCACCTGCAGAACGAAGACAGGCGCGGCCGCGTCCCGACGAACAAGGTCATGAAGGCACACCAGTGCCGAGGGGCAACATTAAGGAGGATGAGAGGGAGAGGGAGGGGGAGGAGGAGGAGGAGGAGGAGGAGGAGGAGGACGGAGGGCGGAGGACGAGGAGGAGGATCTCGAGGTGGATGAGGAGGAACACTAGTAAGAGGAGATGGTTTAGAGATGACGGTGACGAAGAGCACTGGAGCGGCGCCTTCGAGGAGGGTAGGATGCGGAGGAGTGGGTAGAAGTATGCACATGTCCACCACCTCTTTCTCCTCTTCATCATGCTCCTC